CTACTTCTTATTAATACATACCAGAAATTCCGGATCTAAAAAACAACAACAATGATACATCCTGATTGTTTTTCCTTGTGCATGTACATATGTGCAAAATGTAAATGACAGGTTAGCAACACATCAAAGTGCTGCTATAAAAGTCGTTTAAAATCTTTTTTTAGCAAAGTTTAAAATCTTATTGCCACAATTGCAGAATATATTGCGCTAATGTAGGGCATGTCCAGGCCCGTACACGGGCACCCAGACCCGGGGCGGAGAAAATGATTCTTTCACTTCCCAGCTATTTTTTGGACAATCTGGGAAAGGCAGTCAAAATCCAAAAACAGAGAACCGTTGCACATCTCACAAGCACTACTCTCCGTACAGGTGTTCTTTAGCAAGTCCGTCAAGAACGCGTCAAACGCCAGGTCAGATGAGCCACCTTCCTTGAGAACCTCTACGGTCATCTCCATGGCCGTCAAGAGCCTCTGCCTAAGCTCCTTCCCGTCGCCGGACCCAGACGCCATCACCAGTTTCACCTTTGCTTCCACCTCCTCCGCCTTTACCAGCTCCTCCTCGTACCCCTCCATCACCACGCCAACCTTCAGCTCCTCCACCATGTGCACCTTATTCATCTTCTGCTCCGCGTATAACGGCCAGCAGATCATCGGCACGCCAGACGCGATGCCCTCTAGCGCCGAGTTCCACCCGCAATGCGTCACGAACACACCGATGGATCGGTGCCGTAGCACCTCGCTCTGCGGCGCCCAGTTCTTCACCACGAATCCCCTTTCCCTAGTACGCTCCAAGAAACCCTCAGGAAGCAACGACTCCAGGTCCGGCACGACGGAGTTGCTCCGGTGCTCAGGCGGGTTCCGAACGACCCACAAGAACCTCTGCCCGGAGTTCTCCAGCCCACGTGCTATCTCTCTCAGCTGCGGCGCCGAGAACCTCCCCAGGCTGCCGAAGCTCAGGAAAACGACGCTCTGGTCCGGCTGGGTGTCCAGCCATTCCAGGCACGCGTGCCTCTCGCTGGCCCCTCCCCTGTTTCCGGGAAGGACCAGCGGTCCGATGCAGTGGACTGGCAGAGCCGAGCGCCCCGGCGTGCAGAGGCCACGGCTGAGCGCTTCCAGGGCCCGTGCCTCCAGCCAGTTGAAGCTATTCACGAGAATGCCCCTCGCTTCGATCATGCGCGCGCACTGGGACAAGCGTGCCTTGGCGACGTCGCTGTCCCGGTCCTGCATCGCCGCCCCCATGTCGAGCGCGCGGATCGGTTGCACGCCAGGGAAGTGCAGCACGGTCTTGGGCATGTCCTTGAACGAGGACGGGGCGGTAGGGTAGTAGTACCGCATGTGGAGCATTATGGCGAGATCACCTAGCGCGGAGGAGAAGAAGATGTACGCCGGGATGTTGAGCTCGGCGTCGACGTCGAGCGCGTCCATGCAGAACATGTCGAGCACGATGGCGTCGACAGCGGTGAGCGTACGCAGGAAGCCCAGAAGCACGGGGTTGGCGACGCGGAGCACGTCGATGGTGCGCATGACCGGGTGAGAGCAAGGTTCCATGCCGCGGGACGGGACTGTTGGCGCCGGCTGCCGGAATGGCGACGCCGACGGCGATCTCTCAACGCTCGATGTCCGTGCTCTAGCGCACGACGTCGCCTGTGTTCTCTCTCTCTCGCCTCCCTGTGATTGTAACTGAATACGAAAGAAATGGCGCTGCCAAAAACGTTGCAGCTTTTCTCGGTCTCTTTGTTTCTATTTATTCACGGTGATTACACGGTCCATGACCGATGATCCCCCCGCCATGCGCGCCTCACTCTGCGACGTGCCCGCCTTGAGCGCGGGAGCGTTTCTTACGGCATGGCGGTGACCACTTCGTAGCCGCACCATGAACGCAGCATGGTTCTGGCCCTCTCCACCGCTCATCTAACATGCAACTAGCTACTCTTTAGGAACTGTAAAACGTGCAACTAATGCAACTGTCTAATTACAGAATCATGCTAAATAAGTGTACGAGATTATGTCAACATTTCACCCCCTAATCTCGCTGCACTTCGATCACACCCAACTGTTGCCTCAGCTCGATGAACCTGACTTTCCCAAGTGCTTTTGTCAGTATATCTGCCAGCTGGTTCTGTGTACTCACATGATCAATGTCAATGCTTCCATTATCAACACAGTCTCTCACAAAGTGATATTTTGTGTCTATGTGCTTGCTCCGGTCATGATGCACCGGATTCTTACTAAGAGCTATGGCAGACTTATTATCAACAAGGAGATTCACCTTTGGAGCCTGAATTCCCAGCAGTTCACTCAACAGACGACTGAGCCAAATGCCTTGGCATGCTGCATTTGCACTTGCAATATACTCAGCCTCACAGGAAGATAGAGCAACTACCCTTTGTTTTTGTGACACCCAAGTGACCAGATTCATCCCTACAAAGAACACTGAGCCACTGGTACTCTTCCTATCATCAATGTCACCAGCCAGATCACTATCACTGAAACCGAGCAGTTTTGGTTCAGACATTCCTGATCTGGTGTATCTGCACCCAAAATTCAGAGTTCCAGCTATGTACCGAAGTATCTGCTTGACTGCTGCCCAATGACTTGCCCTTGGCTCTTCCATGTACCTACTCACAATCCCCACAGAATAGGCAAGATCTGGTCTTGTGTTCACCAAATACCTCAGACTCCCAATCACACTCCTGTACTTTGTTGCATCTACTAGAGAAGACTTATCTCCCTTGCTCAGTTTCAGTTTGTTTTCCATTGGAACACTGCAGGGATTGCACCCACTCATTCCAGCCTGCTCTAAAATCTTCTGAGCATAGGAACTCTGACACAAGGTTGTTTCTCTTTCTTTCTGATCTACTTGAATTCCCAAGTAATATGTGAGTAAGCCAAGGTCACTCATACTGAAGCTTTTCATCATCTGTCGCTTGAACACATCAATGCTGTCTTGACTTGGCCCTGTGATGATCAGGTCATCAACGTACACACCCACCACAAGAAAACTTCCATTATTATCTGAACGCCTATACACTGCATGCTCAAGTGGGTTTCTGACAAAACCAAGTTTCAACAGTTCCTTATCTAACCTTGTATTCCAAGCTCTAGGTGCCTGACGCAGCCCATACAAAGCCTTCTTTAGTTTGAGTACCTTGCCACTCCCATTTTCTACAACAAAGCCAGGAGGCTGGTGAACATAAACCTCCTCACATAAGTCTCCATTCAAGAATGCCGATTTGACATCCATGTGATGTACCTTCCAACCACTTCTACTGCCGATTGCTATCAAGAAGAACCTATTTCGATTCGATTTTCGCTGGGGCATACACTTCTTCAAAGTCCACCCCCTCACGCTGAGCATATCCCTTAGCCACTAACCTTGCTTTGTGCTTGATCACATTTCCATTTGGATCCTTCTTTACCTTAAAGACCCATTTCAAACCAATAGCACGATGTCCAGCAGGTAAGTCAGCTAGTTCCCACGTTTTGTTTGACTGAATTGACTCCATTTCAGTTTGCATTGCCACTCTCCAACATTGTTCTCCCAAAGACTCATCAACACTTCCTGGTTCCTCAAGCAGCTAAGTAACACAATCCATTTGTACTCAAACCCATGGATTTCTTCAAGAGAGTCAAAGACATTTTGCGAGATCGAAATCTCAATGGAGCTCCTTCCGAATCCACTTGTTTCTTCTATTTGGTGGACTTGCAAATTCAGATTCTTTGTGTTGCCGGACTTCCTTGGGGTGTAGCTTGATTTGGAGAGTTGTTATTTGAGTCTTGATCGGTGACTGCAGTCCTAGTGAAGCTGCACCAACCGAGCCTTCTTCTTGATCAATTAAATGCGCATTACGAAGTTCGATCCATTGGTTCCGGTCCGCAATAGTGTAGTTCTCAACTTCAAATACCGGGACAATTTGTGTCATTCGAGCTTCAGGACTCCAAATCCAAGCTCGACTCTCCTCAAAGATCACATCACGGGATATGTGAAGCTTCTTGGCTACTGGATCATAGAACCGATAGCCCTTTGTCCCTGACTCATAACCGACAAACACCATTTGAGCCGATCTGTCAGACAGTTTTGAAATTCTAGGCCCTATCTTCTTCACATGAGCTACACACCCAAACGTACGTAGATGATGTACCTTGGGCTTCCTCTTGTACCAGGCTTCATATGGGGTCTTGCCTTGCAAACTCTTTGTTGGTGCCTGTTCAATGAGATAGGCTCTTTGTGAGACTTTGCTTCCCCCAAAACTGTCTCTGGCACATTCTTGCTCTTGAGTAGACACCGAGCCATCTCAACGATCGTCTGTTATGACGTTCCACCACACCATTCTGGCTGAGGTGTATATGGTGTGGTGGTGAAGTGTTTGACACCATGTTCGTGACAATATGCAAAGTGAACTCAATTGAATTGAACTCACCCCCTCTGTCACTTCGAATGCCCGTGAACTTGCTCTCCTATTCATTTCACCAAAGCCTTGATCTTCTTGAAGCAATTGAATGCTTCATCTTTGCTAGTCAGGAACTCAACCCACATAAACCGATTGTAATCATCCACAATGAGAAGGAAATAGTTCTTACCACCACCTGTAGTTGGTTTGATCTTCCCACACGATCAGCATGTACCAAGTCCAAAGATTTTTCAGCCCAGTAATTGCTCACTTGTGGGAATGGATGTCATTGCTGTTTTCCCAAGTGCACAACCTTCACAAAACTGATCCACTCGGTCCAAATTGAGGTAGGCCTTCAACCATTCCTTTTATCCCAAGGTCTTGGAGTGCTCGAAAATTCAGATGGCCATATCGGGCGTGTGCCATAGCCAAGCCTCGATCACTAGCCTTTGCCACAAGACAAACTAGAGTTGCAATTTTTATAGTCAACAAATATAGCCGATTCTTGACTCGTGGTGCTCTTGCCAAACAATGAACGATCGACATCAAAGACATTGCAGTAGCCATTCTCTAGCACAACTTTGCAACCTCCTCTTCTAAGCGGCCTAAGCTAACAATAATCGCTTTTGAGCTTGGGAATGAAATATACCTCGAGAGAGTGCGACATGCCCCTTCTTCTTCGCTCAGCAAAGACCGATCCGATGCCCTCTATGTCGACGAGAGATCCATCTCCGAAGCGGACTGTTCTCTCGACCGATGTGTCCAATGACGTGAGCACCTCGTGGCGCCCCGTCATGTGATTACTGGCCCCGGTGTCAAGGACCCACGCACCCCTGTCTTCGCCTTGATCGGCGAGGAACACCTTCTCCTCATTGAGGTGCACTTGGTGACACACCGTGCGCCTTGCCGACGGCTCGACGTCGCGCGGGGACACATGCACAGCGTTCACCGTAGCCAAAAGGATCGTTGGCTGGTCAGTGTCGGCCTGCACATTGTGTGCCTCTTCCTTGCGATCTTTCTTGGGCTTCTTGCAGTCTTCTGCCCAGTGGCCATAGATGCCACAGTTCCTACAGCGCCCCTTGCGCCTGGGTGTGCCCATGGTTGTTAATTTTACAACTGGTTCTTTCTTGTCGCTGCGATCACCGTTCTTCGACTTCCAGGCCTTCTTCTCTCCTCCAGACGAAGCCGATGATTCAGACTTGAGTCGATGGCGGTTTCTCGCCGTCTAGTCCTCCTCTGTCAGCAGGAGTTTGCCGGCCTTGTCAGTGACGGTCTCGATCCCGAGACGTTCCTCTGCCATTTTCAGCCGCCCAACGAGCTCCTCGATCGTCAGGGTTTTCAGATCGAGTAGAGTCTCGATGGAGAACGCGACTGACTGGTACTGCTTGGGGAGAACGCGCAGCATCTTCTTCACGACACGCGTGTCTTCTATGGCTTCTCCCGACACGCGCAGATCCGCCGCCAGAGAGTTGATCCGCAGAGCGAAGTCATCCACGGTCTCGCCGGACTTGAACGAGATGTTCTCGAATTCATGGAGCAGGCGCTGGGCGTTGGCTTCTTTCACGCGTTCGGCACCAACGCGCATGCTCTTCACCGCCTGCCACGCCTCCTTCACCGTCTTCTTCTCTCCCAGCATCTGCCACATCTCCTGCGGCACAGAACGGAGGATCCCGCCCATGGCCTGTCGATCGTGGGTTCTCTTCACCCCTTCGCCACTGGGCTCGATCGCCTCCCACACCTCGAGGATCTCGAAATTGCACTTCATGAGGGTTGCCCACTCGGTATAATTTGAGCGGGTGAGCATTGGCCACATCAGAGAGCCCTCGCAGACTCCGTGTGCCGGTGCACTCGACGACGTCGAGGTCTTGTCGCCCATCTTCCTCAAATCAACACGACACTCCCTCTTCGGCCAAGGCGGATGACTCCACCCGGTGTCCTCCACCGCGGTGCCTCCTCTCCTCGCCAGACAACGTCCCCCTCGGCTCTGATACCAAATTGTTGGCGCCGGCTGCCGGAATGGCGACGCCGACGGCGATCTCTCAACGCTCGATGTCCGTGCTCTAGCGCACGACGTCGCCTGTGTTCTCTCTCTCTCGCCTGTGATTGTAACTGAATACGAAAGAAATGGCGCTGCCAAAAACGTTGTAGCTTTTCTCGGTCTCTTTGTTTCTATTTATTCACGGTGATTACACGGTCCATGACCGACGATCCCCCCGCCATGCGCGCCTCACTCTGCGACGTGCCCGCCTTGAGCGCGGGAGCGTTTCTTACGGCATGGCGGTGACCACTTCGTAGCCGCACCATGAACGCAGCATGGTTCTGGCCCTCTCCACCGCTCATCTAACATGCAACTAGCTACTCTTTAGGAACTGTAAAACGTGCAACTAATGCAACTGTCTAATTACAGAATCATGCTAAATAAGTGTACGAGATTATGTCAACAGGGACGGGGAGGAGGCGGAACGCGATGTCCATGTTGGCGGCGGCGAGGTGGGCCAGCGCCTCGGCCGACACGGAGTCCTTGTCTGGCTAGTCGACGACAGCGATGATGACGGCTAGGCCACGGCGGAGGAAGACCTTGGCCAGCTCCACCATGGGGTTCAGATGGCCGACTCCCAGCGAAGGGTAGAGGATCACGGTCTTCTGCGCCATGACGGCCATCAGGCACTTCTCGACGTGGGAATGCCGCGAGATTGAACTGTGCGAACACGAGACGAGACAGACATGCGTACGGGGCCACCATTCTCTATTTAAAAGCATGATGAGGGGGGCACGGTGTTTGGCTTCTCATTGAATGGCTACCGTTGTTCCCATGTGTTTTGACTTCCAATCGAAGGCGTTCCTTGAGCTGGAGGGAGCTAATTTTACTGCTCCAATTGCTGGCTACCTATGGAGAATCAGTGGGCCGGAGGTGGTATGGTCCCTGGATCGAAGGCTCGGCAATCAGAGTGGGCTTTGCGGAATCTGATTTCCATCCAGCGGGTTTAAATCTCCAAGGAAAATGTAAGGGGCCGATTGTTGCTGCATTCCAGCCAGGGGAGGTCATTTTTGCCTCCAATAAAAACTAAAATGTCGTCGTAGTTCAGGTTCTCACTTCGCCTGCCTCAAATTTTGCTAAAAAAACTCGCCTGCCTCAATCTCAAAACTAACAGGAGAAATGAAAGTTTGGGCTTTAGAAGGATTTGGTGTTGCTCATATTTTACAATATATACTTACTTATAAATCTGATCATCATATAGCTCGCCAAAAATACTTAATGCTACGATCAAGAAAAAAAAGCATCTCCAAGAGTTCCCAACAATTTCTTTTCAAAACCATAGAGTTTTCCTAACTTGTCAAAAATTATTGGAACAAACTAATAAGATCATCTCCAACAGTTTCCAATAATTCACTCCTAAAATATAGAAAACAATTTTATATCGATAATCATATACTATTTCGAAACTATCGTAACCACTTTTATATATATTTTTTCTCTTGTACATTTGCATCACGAATTCTTTCCTACTCCTTATTCTTTTCCACGCCCTTTCACTTTTAGATTAGCTAATGGATACGCGTGTCTAGCACGGGGATATATACGCACCATTGGTCTATTTTTCCTAAGCGCGGAAAGATTGGGAGGTGGAATTGGAAATTGTTGGAGATATGTTTTTTCCATTCTTGTCAAAAATTTTAGATTGGGAGACTTTATTAGGAACTCTTTGGAGATGCTACCTTTTTGCTCTGACTGTAAGTGGTTTTTCAGGGTGTTTTTGTCATTTATATTCAAAATTATGATAAATACTTAATGAGGTTTTTAAACCACGAACATGATCTCTACGCTTCTAAAAATTTTGAGAAGCGGACAAGCTGATAGCTCGGTTGGTAGCACTCCGTTGTGGGCAGCTCTAGGTCGGGAGTTCGACTCCCACCTCTGCATGCACAAGTTTGCGCATTGTAAAAAAATCCCTTCGTCTGTTTCACGTCAAAGCATAGGTCTAAGGTCTGGTCCAGTCTCACATGAGCTCTGCACGTCGTGAGAAGGTCTTCTTCTTAAGCACAATGTCCGGACTGTCATACCCTGTGGGTCGAGTTTTTTTATAAAAAATAGAAAAATCCTATAGATAGAATACGAAAGAAGAAACCCAAAACATATCTAAAAATCACAAAAATATATGAAAAGTTTCCATAAAAATAGGTTTATCTCTAGAACAATAGAGAAAAATATTCATACAAACTTGATTTTTCCAAAGTATTTTAATTAATGTTTAAATGTGTTTCTAAAACTTTCCACTATAAAACACAAGATGTGATCAACATTCAAACCAACATTTATGTTGAATGTGTTTTTGTTGTGAAAAATCTTGGGAACACGTTTATTCATTGATTAGAATGTTTAGATATTTTTGAGATTTTCCTAGATATTCTTCCCATTCCTAGAGTTAAATATAATTCCTAAAAGCTTCTAGTTATATTTTTCACGACATCTAAATATTTTTATTTAGGTTTATAGGTCCAAATCTATTGCTGGTATTTCTATCAAAATTCAATAATCTTAGAGATATTTTATAGTTTAAAACCTTATTTAAGTATTTACTATAATTATATAATTATAAAATGGAAAAACCACTTTTAATCATGCCAGGGAGGTAATTTTTGTAAAAGTGATTAGAACGAGATGCCCTCCCAAGGATCTCGGTTGCGTGTTATATGAGCCGGGAAGAGCCCCCGGCGTGGCTTGTACATCAAGTATGGATTACAACAAACTCTGGATAGAGATCTATCCTATACCACCTTCATCTACAACTCATGTCCAGGTTCATTCACCAAACTAACTAACTCATCATCTAACACTCCCCCTCAATCTTAGCCACTAACAAGGTTAAGATTGACTCTAAATTATTTCAACTTTGCAGCAGGAATAGCTTTAGTGAACCCATCCACTAGTTGGTCACCGATATTGATAAACCGTATATCCAACAATCGTTGAGCCACTCTCTCTCTGACAAAATGGAAATCAAATTCTATGTGCTTCATCCTGGCATGAAACACCTGATTAGCATAAAGATACTTAGCACCCAGGTTGTCACACCACAACCGAACCACAGGAGGATGATGGATGTGTAGTTCTATCAACAACTTCTGAACCCACATCATTTCAGCTGTAGCGTTGGCTAGTGATTTGTATTCAGCTTCTATGCTTGACCGAGAGACAGTAGCTTGTTTCCTGGCCGTCCATGAGATCAAGTTATCTCCAAGAAACACAGCGAACCCTCCGTTGATCTTCGGTCATCAACACATCCTGCCCAATTCGCATCAGAAAATGCACTAACCATCATGGACTTAGACTTCTTGATCTTGAGCCCAACGCCAACAGTCCCACGAACATATTTGAGGATTCTCTTCATAGCGCTCCAATGAACCATAGTTGGGGCATGAAGGAACTGATACACTTTATTCACGGCAAATGATATGTCTAGTCGTGTAAGTGTGAGATACTGCAATGCTCCAACTAAGCTTCTATACCGGGTACAGTCCTCTGGTCCAAGCTTGTCACCATCTACAAGGCTAAGCGTCTCCGAGGTGGACAAAGGGGTATCAACAATCTTTGCCTTGTCCATCCCCGACCGGGTGAGAATATTAGCCACATATCTCCCTTGAGAGAGCACTAACCCATCTGACGTCTTCTTGACTACTATCCCCAGAAAGTAGTGTAACTCTCCCAAATCTTTCAATGCAAAATATTTCTGCAAATCTTTAAGTAATGCTTCTATTACTTCCTGTGATGAGCTAGCAACTATAATGTCATCCACATAAACCAACACAAATAGGCTATACCCTCCACGGTTATAGTAGAACAAAGAGGTATCAGCTTTTGACAGAACAAAGCTAGGAGCCTCTAACCTCTTGCATAATCTTGCATACCACACCCGTGGTGCCTGCTTCAACCCATATAGTGCCTTGTCTAGCTTGCAAACATAATTCGGATGTGCTTCATCTGCATACCCTGGTGGTTGTTGCATATAGACTTCTTCCTCCAAGATTCCGTGGAGGAATGCATTCTGAACATCTAGCTACCGAAGAGACCACCCTCTTGAGACTGCTACTGACATGATG